GTTCGGTCAGCTTACAGAGTGCATCATAGCACTGAAACTGCTCTTCTGAGGAGTTACATCCTGCTCAATATGAATAAACAACATGTAACCCTTCTAGTGCTACTCGATCTTAGTGCTGCTTTCGATACAGTCGAGCATAAAATCTTTCTGGAGGCACTCAATACGCTTGGACTTGGAGGCAGGGTGTCCAAGTGGTTCCGATCGTATTTATCAGGGCGTAGTCAGAGGATATTAGTTCGTGGTTGTCTGTGAAAGTTTGATTTGAACTGCGAGGTGCCCCAAGGCTCCTGTTTAGGACCGCTCTTGTTATGAGAGTTTATGTGGAGATATTGTTATTTCTCTCCGAAAGCCGCTGCGAGGGTAAAGAGCCCGAGTCTCGCTAAAGAACTCTGAAGAAGTCATAATTTTCGGAGTATGTTTGTGGCACTAATCTAGTGAACAATGATTCATCTTCTCAAAAGACCTTTCCTACTTATTCAACAAATTCATAGATAAAAAGACTATTCCCCATATCTGACAAAATTTCGTCACCATTTTTTTTTGTTTTTTTTGTTTTTTTTGTGAGAGTTAATTTTCTGACAGCATTACGTTTCCTCAATTCTGTACTTCTTCCCGGTTTGGCAGTATCAGGTTAATGGAAATTCAAGATCAGTCTCTTGCTAGAAGGATAAGCTTTTAGCGTGTGTTATTTTTAGTGAACATCATCCTTCTGTTGCTAATAAATTTGCAGGAGATTGAATGTCACGCAAATTCTTGACGTCTTGTCTTCGGTTAAATTCTTTGCACCTGCTTAAAACAAGCATGGCGAAATAATCCATTAACATCGAAATAAACTGTTTCATTTCGTAATTCTTTTAATAGAATAGAGTGCGATCCACAATCATACAGCGAGAAAAACAAATTTAATTAAATAGTTGTGATATCCCCAAGCTCCAGAAAGTAACTATTTAGTAGCAACTATTCCGCTGTGGCAATAATTATGAGCGATGGTGATGAAAAGTTTTCGTGCTCCTCGATATATGTCTGTGCTTGTATCTTGCTGGAGTAATATATCCTTAAAGAATCGCTACACAGCTGTGATATCTCATCTATCCTCTTTTTAACGTAACGAGAGGATACAAAATAGGTGGGCGTAGCTAGGTCTCACTAGGTACCCCCCCTCCCCCCTTTTGAAAGGAGGGGGCAAGTGAGGGTGTCGTCGTTACGAATATCCGGCGCGCGCCCTACGTAAAGTGGCGTTAATTTATATCTAACGAGCTTGTAATCATGCGGTGGAAAGGATTATTTAGCATTTCAGAATATTTTATGTCATGCACCTCTTTAGAATTGGCTTCATTTTTAAAGAAACAAACAAACAAACAAACAACACGGGAAAAAACATAACAGAGCAACATAAACACTCACTCAAGAGGGTAGTTGGACTTCTCGGGCGTCTTAGAATCTCTCCCTGAGGAGATGGGGTTATGGGAGTGAGAGCGGATGGGAGGTAGTTAAGATAGATTCAAAACCCTTCCCCTCTCTTCCACCCTGTAAGGATTTTAGAGAACAGGGCTAATAAAAATTTGCAGCTCTGCTTGCGTTATACAGTGTTACTATAAGCACTGATCAAAACTCAGTGAGATTCTTCCATGGGGAAAGTAGAAGATTGTTACACTGCTTTTTAATACAACGATTTTAATCCAAACTGATCAAAATTCACTTTCTGACTCGAAAGGGTACAATGTGCCTCGTTATGCGAACAAATATGCCAGATTACTAAAAGATATAATTCATCCACTCGTTTTCAATTATTTTATTCAATTATATTCAATTATTCAGCGGTCATTATGGCGGTTGGATGGTTTTTTCTTACATCCGTAGTTTTGCTGCATTTTCTTGAATTACAACCCTTACCGGATCGAAAAACTGACTTGAACTGTTTGCCCGAAGCTTCATTATGCGGCTATGCTTCTTCTGACGTCGTGAAGGAAAGCATTTTGCCGATATATCAACTTCATCAGCTTGCGAGTCGGATCCGCCATATTGCACCTTCTCCACGTGGAAGAAAATATTACACCTTCAGGATTCGCTATTATGCTAACTCGGACAGTACTTTCCATCTAACTCGTCTCCTTACAAGCGGCGATGTCTCACTTAATCCTGGACCGATAACAACATCCGGACCGAATTCATCCCAGAATAAGAAGGAAAGTCTTAAATCTTAACTCTCCTGTGTCTCTTTTAACTCAAGGAGTATTGTTAATGAGCGACTCGAACTAAGTAGCCTCCTTGCTTTGAAACCCTACGAATTGGTCGCCATTACGGAAACATTCCTAGACTCAACGATAAACAGCTCAGAAATATTCTCTGATACTTTCAACGTGCAGAGGAGAGATCGTTCAAGGCATGGTGGTGGAGTTCTCCTGGCTGTTCACCAGGGTTTGTGCTGCATTAGAAGAACAGATTTCGAAACTGACTGTGAAATTTTATGGTGCGAGCTTATTGCTACGAAACCTTTTTCAAGAGTCCTGGTAGGGGTATTTTACAGACCTCCTTCGAGCGACATCGACTACTTGAAAGAGTAGCCGCAGATTGGCTAGTCTACCCCTTAACCTACGTGTCTGATACGTGCACTATCAAGACTTTTTTCACCAGTTGGTACCCGCGAGCAAAATATTCTCGATCTGCAATGGGACTGATCATTGTTCCATTGAATTCAATCTAAAATTAACTTATGGAATTTGATGTAATGATGTTCATATCTTATGGAATCTGTGTGATGTCTGGATGATGATACTTGGAAATTATTATTTTTCCAGGCTGTTGAACGTAATATTCCATCAAACAACTTAAACCCCAGCGTAACGCACCATGGTTAAAGGCCGATCTACGGAAATTAATTCGCAGGAAGGGCAGATTATGGAAACAAGCTAAATCCTCTGGAGACCCCGCTAAATAGGTTAGATATAAAAGACTAACTGCGTGAAAGACCATTTATACAAGGCCTACTGGAACTATGTCAACGATTTAACAGCTTCATTAAAGACCAACCCAAAAAGTTCTGGTCTTTTGTCAAAGCGCGCACAGGCAATCGTAGCGTGGCGAGCTGCATCGAGTACGAGGGACAAAGAGCATATACACCACTCGATAAAGCTAACCTTTTCAACAGTTTCTTCCAGTCTGTTTACATCAAGGCCTCAGAAGCAAGTAATTTCCAGAATCCTAATCAGCTGACCGAACATGTTATAGGAGACTTATCTTGTAGCGTAGAAGAAGTGACGAAACTACTTCAATCAATCGATGTCGATAAAGCATCTGGCCCTGACAATATTTCTCCAAGAGTACTCAAGGAATGTGCTATGGAATTGGCCCTACCCCTGACAATCTTTTTCAACTTCGCTTTGTCTCGGGGGAATATTCCAACTGATTGGAAAGTTGCAAATGTTGTGCCAATATTCAAATCTGGCAAAAATAACCTGGCAGACAACTATCGTCCAATCTCACTGACTAGCGTCGTTGTGAAAACGTTAGAGCGCTTGATCCACAAGCACATTATGAAGTATCTGATTGACTTCCAACTGCTTAATGACAATCAGCATGGCTTTAGACCATCAAGATCTTGTGTTACCCAGCTACTGCAATTAGTACGTGAGTGGCTTCAGGCCTTGGATAAACTCGGATCTATTGACGCAGTATTTTTGGACTTTGCCAAGGCTTTCGATAAAGTCTCTCACGCCCATCTCCTCTACAAATTGGAATGCTATGGTATAAAAGGCCAGATCTTAACTTGGTTAAGGGATTTTCTCACGTCAAGGAAACAGCGTGTAGTGATTGAGGGTCAAGCATCTGACTGGTTAAATGTTACATCTGGTGTGCCCCAAGGCAGTATACTTGGGCCTTTGCTGTTCCTTGTATACATCAACGATCTTCCTTACTCAGTAACCTGCAACGCTGATTTGTTTGCTGACGATACTGTCCTTCATTGACACATAGCAAATGGATCGGATTGCGATCTACTTCAAGAGGATTTAACATCTGCCTCTGATTGGTGCAAGTCTTGGCTTGTTACTATTAAGACCCAGAAGTGTGAAGTCCTACACATTACACGGAAGAATGACCCAGTAAGATATCAATATTCGTTGAATCATATCTTACTACCGGAAGTGGACCACCACAAACACCTGGGTCTTTGGCTGACGCCGTCTTTATCATGGGATTATCACATTAACTCAATTTGTGCTAAAGCTAACAAGGTCCTGGGCTTGATAAAAAGGACATTTGGTTATTCAAACAAGACTGGTATCAAAACAGCTTCTAAGGCACTAGTGATACCTATCCTCGAGTATGCCTGCCCAGTCTGGAATCCTTATCTGGTGAAACACACCAAGGCAATCGAAGCAATTCAGAGAAGAGCGTCCCGACTAATATGTGGCCCAGACAAAGAATATCCTGAAAGACTTCTAGAGTTAAAATGGGACTCTTTAGAACTGAGAAGGCAATACCTTAGCCTAGTTCAAATGTATAAGATTATATTTGGTTACTGTGATATCAATTGCCATCATTACTTTGATATTATTGGAATAACTCGAACTAGAAGTAAGCATGAGTATAAAATAAGGCCTAAAGTTGCTCGTACAAATTATTTTAAATATTCTTTTTTTATAGATATATTAAAGATTGGAACTGTTTGCCTTCTGAAGTAATGTCATCCCTAAGCCTTCAGTCTTTTAAAGTTTCACCAATTAAGTACCTCCGCTCAAAATTACCCCAAATACCAGTTTTTTTTGTTATAGTTTTTTATTGTTGTATTTTTTTTTGGAGGGTATGTCTCAGCATGGGAATTTAGTTTCCCCCTACTACCGTCCTGTCAACCATTTTTGTACTTTTGTTCGATGTATGGTTACGAACTGTGATTAAAGATTAAAGGTTTATTAATTGATCTGTTGATTTAATTCATTTTTTAATTGTAAATCTTAAAACTCGACTTTTACTTCTGCTATCACAGAAGAACGATCGTATTTGGTATTTTCACAAGCAGCTTAGTATGACCTTGTGCACTCAAAATGTGGGTCGTTATTAAATATTAGTCAACAGTGGTTTAAGGGGAATACAGTAAAATGTGTATTAGTGTTAAACAAGTGAGACTTGAATTTACGATACGATTTTAGACAATCGACTCTCATTTTCGTTCTTTTGAATCCAGTTATTTACGCTGATTATTATTCCAACTCATATTAAGACTACTATTTATCTGCCCACACATCACCTACATCACTGAGATTAACCCGTGAGCTTTTCCTTCTGGAGTTTTCATTTTTTAAAGATGGGAGAACGTTATTACCAAAAGTCGTTTAAATTGGATTACTGAATATTGTATTGTGTTATTCTTTGAAGGACTGCAATTTTACTGCACACACTTCGCCGGCATCACTTGGATTAACTTGTGAGCTCTTCTTCGCAGAGTTTCCATGATCTACAGCAGATGGGAAAATGATGTTCATCTTCCTTTTCAATCGCTCTCTAATCTGCAGATGAACAGGCGACCAAATATCAATTTCTGACCCACAAAATTTCTATTGATGTCTAGAAAATTCACAATTCCTCTTATGTACATCCTCAGTTTGATATTCATCTTACCTGGCTGTTCCGCACACAATGAAGAAGGAAAATCAGGATTCCCTGAAACAGATAATTATATCAGTATAACACCTTTTGTAATCCAGATGAGAAAGATATGATCGTTTGAGATGAAACCAGAATAAAAGTGGCGAAAGAATGAATTAGAGCAAGTCGCATATCTTGTAAACCAATAAAGATTGTCTGCTGTTGGGTAAATTATTTTGAATAGGCAATATCATTTAACCAATGTTAAAGAGCCTTTTTTTAGGTGAAAGAGTACTTTGAGCATTTAAGTATGTGAACAGATGACTACAATTTAGTATCGACTGATTTTTTTATCGAAAGCTTACCTGAATAGAGTTGAAAATGGTGAAAATGTAGGCGAAAGCTTTGTGTAATGATAACAAAAGTCCAAAAAGCCAGGTAACACCAAGCAGTGGGATCATCACCGCGCATGTTTTAATGCCAAGTCTGAATAACGACAACAACATATGATGAGCATCGATAAACCGTTTCTTTCAGTCACGTAAATGAACTTTTTTTTTTAAAGTGGTATTGCTTCATCGTCGCAGACTAACTAGAGTGGAATCTAGACAAATACTGCTAAACTAAATGCGACAACAATATGATCACATTACCAGAGGAGCCTGTGTAGATACTAGTTATTATTTACCTTTCCCCTCACAATTTATCACAATTATCTAATAAATGTTAAATTTATCTAATATTTACCGTATTTGCTGTGTATTGTTGTCTTCCCCCGTGGGTTGTGTTAATGTGCTCATCTCCTTTATTACTCGGACAAGTATCAAAATGTTGAGCTGAAAACAAAAATTGTCTATTAAAGTTCACACGGCAAAGGTGGACAATCAGACATAGTTTGAACTCTGGTTTGCAGATAAAATAGAAGTTACGATTCATAGACCCAATGTTTCGACACTCCTGTCTAGTATGAAAATTGTCATTCGTCTTGTTGCGAGCGTTTGAAAAAAGAAATTAAAGTTTGAATCTTCATAAAAAATTAAACTCTCTAGCCAACGCACTCCTGCGTCTGTATAATGGGTGACAGAGAACCCTGTGCTGCGCCACGCTATTATTTGGTTTACACACAAGGGAATATCAATTTGAGTTGATATTCTCTTGAAAGACGGTAGACGTTTAGTAATGAAAATCTCTAATGATAGGTAGTCCTGGTATAGGCGATAACAATAATATTAACGACAATAGTAATAACAATGATAACAATATTGATGAGGCGTCAATTAATCAGACTCACAACTTCAATGAAAGTTACAAATGTGACGAAGATCCAGATCAAGTTGTTTGTTGAGGACAGCCAGCAACTGGAGACGAGTATATAAAAAATGAATGTCCTAAGAATAACCTTCGCAGGACGACACAATCAAACACAACAACACAATAAAACAAGACAACTTTCAGAGAAAACAAATGGGGTGATGATGGAAAACTAAATAGAGATCTCAGAAGCAGCAATCGTCGTGAAATGTTGATTATTTAAATGAAAAGAGAGGGAGGGTGAGAGAGAGAGAAGAGGAAGAAGAGAGAACAAACTGCAGCTTCATTATTGATTGTTTCTCATACTATTTTTCACTGGTATAGCTTTTAATTCCATCTTTTCCAGCGGCGATGCCTATTGAAATGCTAACCATGATGACGGGTAAACCTAAACATAAGAAGAAGGAAGTTAGCGCGACTCGAGAAGTCATACGTCCAATTTTGAGGCGTTTCCGATTCAGCAGCTTACAATAATTTACAACAAGCGAAATAAAAATACCCCATGATATGAAGTGATACATATTCATCTTGGTGTCGATGTTATAAACTTTCACAACAAACAGGAAAAAATAAATTCCCTCCACCAGCATCCAACAGAAAGCTGCCATCAAGAAGTACTGCAAGAAAGCTGCAGTTAGGACACAGAGAGCCTGCGAGAGAGAAAAATAAGTTTTTGTAGCTTTTCCATATTATTTTCTAGAGAATATTTTAAGCCCCTAAAAAGCAAATAAACCAGGAACAGATAAATACAACACTTACCGTATTTTCTGTGGCGTTTATGCCGGTGAGAAAGATTATTTGTCCAGCTCCGAGGGCCACAGAAAGACTCAGTCGTATTTGAGTCAGAGGTTGCCATACGTCTCTAGTGAAACATGCAAGCAATAAAAAAGCTAACAAACAATCAGAAAAAAGTCAAAGACGAAACAGAAACAAAAACAAAACGAAGCGACAATTGACAAGGTATTCTACTAATTTTGTACTGTACTAGTTTAGATATCTTAACCGCTTCCGCACATATTATTAATCTCTATTACATTTAATCATCTTTCTTCGTCATTATTTTATTTGTTCAATATACTTTTTAATTAAATCGATATATTTTTTAAAGAACTTGTCTGTTCTAAGCCCTAAAGCCTTCAAGGTCATGCAAAGACTTAGTTCTTTGAGCGTATGGTTACAGTACTTACGTGAGGTAGGAATATAGAATAATTGTCAAAAGAATCGCGAAGATGGAAAGACTCAGTCCCACGTAGGTGATAATTTCCAGAATAGTTTCGTCTTCCTCTGTGAGCTGTGAAGAGAGATGAAGAGACAGCAAAATTTTTACTTAATCCAATGAAATTTTATTACCAATGCTAAAGGTAAGGTGAAAATAACTTCATTACCCCTGGGCTGCCGTTGTAGTCAAGTAAGACAGCAAAATGAGTCAAATGATTGCAGCTGCAAACTGTTTCTTCTGAGTTGCTTTTCGAAGTAACTAAGTGGCATCCTGTCTCTGAAAATCCGCCTGAACTGAAAATAATAAAATAATAAATAATAATAAAATAATAATAACAATGATCAAAGAAAAATAAAAAAACTTATCAGGGCAACGATGGGTTTATTTTCTGTCTTACTTTGACCGAGTTCATAACCTCTACACATCGTTGAGTACTTTCGAGTTTGCCTTTTGTCTATATCTTCTCCCTGTCACTAATGGATTTGCTTTCGAGTGATCACTATCAGCACTTTTAATCTGAGGTAAATGGTATACTGATGATATTGATATTTAGGCTTGGCACAATTTTTAATTAGACTCGTCAAACATGAATACACCCCTGACCTAGGTGAAAAAGCAAACAAGGAAACAAGCAAGGCAAAAAACACAGAAGCAAACAAACGCGATAATCCAAACAAACAAATCAATGAACCTATAATTCAAATAAATGGAAGGAATCTGAATGCGATGGATATATAGATACAGTTATGGAAAACAGAAAAAAAGAAAAACAGCAATTACCAAACCTCCCATGAAAAAAATTACATTCAACAAATCATTGCTTTCATTTAAAGAACAAACAGATTGACCTTGAAAGGCGTTTTTAGAACGTAGGGAAAGTTTCAACGTCTCATCAAAGTCGAGTGAGAAATTATTGACAGCTAATAGTATACCTAGAAAACAACCATTTAAATATGATATTCATTACATTTTTCTTCAGAATTTGAGAATGAAGAATCAACTACTCATGAAATAGGATGAAAAATACATTCCAGCTGTTACCTTTCACTTACGCCACTCCAAAACATGCATTTCTTATCTCCTTCACGAATCTGTACTCGGAATATAAACATTAAAATCATATACTCGGAATAAAAATTACAACGCAAAACAATTGAAACTGATTTTGATCGTGTTCTTACCTTCAGATTTCTGAATCTTAAGATGACATTCTCTTGTAATTTTTCTGGTTTTGGATCTAAAGCCACGGCAGTTATCCAGGAGTCCAAATACCTTCGGAGGAAATAGAAAATCAGTATGAAACAGATTTATTTAAAGCATAGTAATAACTTTGATGAAAATAGCAAGCTAGGACTATATAAAAGACCAGTGTTACTCAGAGGCTAATTTATCAAACACGGAAAAGATCATTGATCCACATGACTAATTATCTTTCAATAGGGTTTTGAAAAATATACGACCTTATAGGCTCAACCCCTCAAGTTTCTTTTTTTGTGTATTTTCCATGGAAGGGGTATTTGGTTAAGAAACTGTATGAGGTAACCTCACCTTATAGTTCTGAAGGGTTGATCTGTAATTAATACGTCATGGAGATCCTTATACACGATCCCAACAACCACTGACACTAAAAAGTAGAAAAAAATCTGGCTACATCATGAAAATACGAAATCCAAGTTGCAAATGAACATATCTGAACCAAACAGATTATGTAAACCAACAAACAAACTTGTATGTGTTTGTAGATGTATTTCGAAACTGCAAAAACTTGGATAGGAATAAAAAATTGTGCTTTGTCATAGCACATCAAAGATTTCAAAACTGATTTCAATACAAACCGTTGTTGGCAAAGTTTTTAGAGGAAACTTCCAGGCTCGCTTGCAGTTCTTGTTTCCCAAGATAAAAGTCACTAGCATTTTTGCGGTAGGTTTTTTGTATAGCCAACACTGATGGACAAAAAAAATAAAGACGAAATTAAGAGTAACACATTTTCGAAGAAATATTTTTTCGTGTTGGTCCGAAAGTAAGTCATAATCCTAATATGATAATTATACTTGTTTGAAAGCTAAGTATTTCTTACATAATCTTCTAAAAGGTACAATCCTCTATAGATCATCAAGGCATCCGAAAGTCAAGGTTTTAACGCTTTTCAACATTCTAATCACCTAAAAAATTGCCCACAATCACCGTGATTGATAAAAATAAATGGTCAATGGTACATCTGGCTACATCACTGATCAAAAGTTAAATCATGAAAGCAGCCATTATGTCATTGATTATTGTGTCAGTCGATAAACAAGTAACGGACTACTTCAAATCCGTAACAATGATCGTGCCCTGACTCACCTAGTTTTCGGCTGTTTATCTCCACTGAAGAATTCGCTCCAATCATTTGGTGTTTGCCATAATTAAGTGCGAATACCTCCAAGGCGACTGCCACCTTAAAGATGGAATTTCTTACTATTTCGATTTCTTCTTCAGTAAGGGGTTTTTGGAGGATTTGGATACTGGTGATGAAGTCTTCAAAAATTCGAATAGCCTCCTGTAATAACATAACATATATCTGTTAAAGTAAGATGCTAAAAATTGGGATCCGTGTGAGTCAAACAAGATATTTGAGTGTCCCATGAGTATTGAGCCGCAGAACCCCTGATCGCGGTAGAACATTTTAACAAAACAGTTTGAGGCATTAATTATAAGGCCATATTTCGTCTACTCCTAGTTAGATTATGAAAAAAACATTGATACAGAAATAAATAAAGACCAAAAACGGACGAAAGAATAAATATCCAGCAAAATGGCCAAATGGTATGTAGGATGTGCACAAGTTAAAGGAGTGTCCAGGAACTCGTTCAAGGAGTTGGATCAATTGTTTCATTCATGCCAGTTCATGTCTTAGAAACGATAATAGTAACGATAGTGAAGATGATAACGTTATAATAACTATAATAATGATAATGATAATGATGACGATGGCGATAATGGTATAGTTTTGTTTGCTCTTGTTTGAATGAACTCAAAGCTTTTTTCAAGCTTAGAGAATGTTGCATTGCACCGGTCATTCTTTCTAATTATTGCGTATTTCATATAAACTTGGTGGCTTAATCACAGAAGATAAGCGAGTAGTAAATTCATACCATCAAGGACATGATTCTACTGATTTCTTCTCCTTTTAGTTTGGAAACAGAATCATTTGCCTGAGATAAAGAAGAAAATAAAGTTGAGAACAACGATGTTGTAAATAAAAAGCTTGAGAGAAATACTTTGCCTACCAGATTCTTAATTACTCCCAGTGTCGATGACAGAGGTGTCCGTAGAGACGGAGACGATGATGATACTGCTATCGATGTTTCCGATGATGATGACTGTAATGATGATAGTGCTGCTGCTGTTAATACTGCTTGCGACGATGCTGCTAATGATAATCCTAATGCTGATGTTGCTGTTGGCTTTGATGATGATGGTGATAGTGCTGATGACGATGCAGATGCCCTTGCTGTTGATATTGCTTCCGATGATGCTGTTGATGATGATCCTGAAGCTGATGCTGATGCTGACGTTGCTGCTGGCTTTGATGATGATAGTAATAGTGTTGATGGAGATGCTGATGCCTCTGCTGGTAATATTGCTGCTGATGGTGAGTGTGATGAAGATGATAGTAATGGTGAAGGTGAGATTAATGATAAAGGTGACTGCGACATTGATTGCAACAAAGCTGAATGTTGAAGAAAATTGAATTGTCAAAATAAAATTGATATTTTGGTAGGGCGCAACGAATTTTGAAATAAAATATTTTCCATTTCTTTTTTTAGAATATTAAACACTTTTTTTGTAAAGCAAAAAAGATTGTCTTAAGTATTCAAACTATTATTGTACTCACTGTAAGCTTCTGTTTCATCTCCTGTTGAAATTTTAGTCGTGAACACTCGAATCGTTGAAGCCCCAATAGATGTCACAATATTCGACATGTATGAATCTGAGGTGATGGAGTGACCATCACACATCTGTGTACAATCGTTAGCATTCCATCGCTTATTGCATTCTGCGTTTTCTGTGCAATTTTGCGTTTTACATTTTTTCCCGATGCAGGTCAGGTTACATTTTTTAGCTTCGCAGATTTGTTCACAATCCTGGTTGTTACATTCTAGATGCATTTCGCATACATCTCCTTTACCTTCGCACTTTTGTTTTTTACAACCTCTCCCGCTGCAGGTCAGGTTACATTTTTTAGCTTCGCAGATTTGTTCACAATCCTGGTTGTTACATTTTTAGCTTGCAGATTTTCACGCACCGTTACATTCTAGATGCATTTCGCATACATCTCCTTTACCTTTGCACTTTTGTTTTTTACAACTTCTCCCGCTGCAGTTCAGGTTACATTTATGAGCGTTGCAGATTTGTTCACAATCCTGACCATTACATTCTAGATCCATTTCACATGCAAGTCCGCCTTCTTTAAGGCACCTCTGTTTTTTACAATTTTTCCCGCTGCAGTTCAGTTTACACGTGTTAGCCATGCAGGTTTGGTCACAATCGTCACCTTTACATTCTAGATTCATTTCACATACCTCTACTCCAGTATTGCACGTCTGTTTACACCCTTTCCCCTCGCAGTTCATACAACAATTATAATTAACACTGCTGCAATTCCAGAGCAGATTACAATGATGGCCATGATTTTTACATCTCGAGTTACATTTAGCCTTCTCGCAAACCTCACCGCCCAGCTCAAAACCTGAGACAACAAAAAAAAAAAAAGAAGAGAACCAAAAATATAAGAAACTAAATACGAAAATAATGATGACGATAGTTATGAAAAATACAGAGATATCGCAAGACCTTCGTTGTGCAAATAAACAACTTTACACCACGGTTACATAAAAACTGCTGAGTATAATTTTCATGGAAGCCAACATTACAGCAGATTGATTGTGTACACCAGTTCGTTCAAACCGAGAGCCTTTTATGTAACTTTCTAGATAGGTGAGATATATCTCAGTATTTTATCTCATTTTGTATTATTAACACCATTTATTTATATTAATTTATCCATATTTCGGTTTATTTATTATTTTTTTTGATATGTTATTACTATTTTTTGCAAAAATAAGCGGCCCCTCTAAGATTAAAGAGTGAGCCTTCTTTCCATAACTACGTTTTGCAGCTTAGGAATTGATAAATACATAAGGGCATCCCTGGGTGTAAAGAATATTTCTGCATAACGACGTTTGCTCCTCAGATATTGTTTACAGATCAATGATAAATTAAATACCTAGGAAAAACTGAATCATATAAAATTGCCAAGGAGAAAACAAGACTTACAAGACTTGAAATAGTATCGTTAAGCTGCAAGGCTCGGTAGTTTGTGAAAGGTGAGAGGCGACCTAACTTTTAGCTTTCTGTTTAGTCATTGCAGAATTTGCATATCTATAAATTGGAAAAAAAAATCCCGGCTTAAAATATCCCATCGCCGTTTACATGTTTTCTCAAAAGCTTTACTTTTTCATGATAGACCCACGAGTTTGAACAAGCTTTAAGCCTGTTTCTCAATAATAAATAGGTTAAATGGCTCCCTGAAGTAGATCCCCTAAAATATTTCGTCATGGCTTCCAAAAAAAATTGCCTGCGTGGCCACCTGCCACCAAGGATCGCCTAATCTAAAACTATTCTAAGTTTTAACGGTCTTTGCTCGCGCTCAATTTTATTTCGGAGACTTTTCAAAGGGCAGCCTTAAGATGGACTCCTCGGAGCGCGCGTAGGATGCATTCTAAATGAAATCAATCTTTTAAAAGAAACTTTGGTACTCACTCAACATAGTTATTGATAACAGGAGTGTTCCCCACAACTGGCAGCTTCTCGTCATCATTATTTTTTCCGTTGGATGAGTTTAGTTCCTGTAAGCTGAACCAAATGCAACCTTCTAGAAAATTGTCAGTGGCTGGATATCGGTCCGAAATATCCTTTGCCAATACAAATGCAAGGCTTGTGATAATACTCCTTTTGGCAAGAACCAGCCGTTTACTCAGTGTTGACATACACAACGGGAAATGGATTGCCATGCAAATTATTTTCGTCAGGTATTTCTGCCCAAATGTAGTCGTAGTAAGCCTTTTTACTTACGTAAAAAAATATGACAGAAATGAAATCAACTTTTCAAGCAGATGTTTCATTCGAATTTTAAAGCTTTTTCAATAGCTTAGCATGGGACACAATACTTGGCGAAAAATAGTGCATATTTGAATGAAATAGCCTTAGGCTAAAGATATCAACTTGTGGTGACGGGTTTTATTCATTTTAATGCCACTATCAATTACTGACAGTTGCCACTCTTTGTTTATTTAACCCCGAATTAGGTTTTTTTAAGAGCACTAGGAGTTGCTTCGAAACAATTACGCCTCCACTTGTAATATGTGTATCATGAAGATATATTTTTTTGTTCGCTTTTTCTAACGGTGCTCGCTAAGTAGTGCAGAACGGTAGATCTCACCTACACGTGCCACGCACCAGAAGGTGTTATTGACAAAATATGTGACGTTTGTCGTTTCTTAGAGCAATAAATGGAGATAATAGCTCACCAAAGCTTAATTAGTTGATTGACTTCAAAAACTTACAGAGTTAGAAATTGATTCGTTGGATATAAGTGTTCGCTGTTTTCGTCGCCAATATAACAAAATCATTATTTGAGTAACAATGAAGATATCTTAAGTGTTAGACTTTAGGGATCATAGTCACGCGAAATATGGTAACAGACTGGTCGTTATTGTTAACCCGCGTGGGAAAAGGAGGATTTTGTAGGGAAGGCCGACTTTATGCGTTCGAAGACCTAAAGACACAACTGGTATCGGCATACCCTGTCGACCTTATCGCTTAAGGAAATGCTTGCAATACGCCTATTTGACTCGAAAATAACGACATCATAAAAAAAATATATATACATGAAAAAGAATTTCCTTCATATACAACTGTGTTCACTGCAATCTTTAAGTGCAACCCACATTGTAATAATAATAATTATAATTTACTGTTTTTTGAACACGGGCATAATAGTTCTGAATAGTACTCCGATTAACCGTTTCCTAAATATTGACGGGTTAATACCTAAAAGCTAATAAGAAATGTTTTTGTTATTAACCAGCTGTTTCAGACTTCCCTTAGGGCTCTTCGAAATGTTTGGGAAATGATCTAGAATAAAGGAAAACACACAGAGTGATATAATTTCAATGCAAAACATTTTTTTTTTGCGGAATGATAATCTAAAACACCTCCGTCGAAGTTGTCTATCGTGTTTGATATGTTTGCTTTAATATTGCTTTCTTAATGAATTTAGTATATTTTATGCAAGTATTCGAAAGACTAAAAATTGTCTTCCTCTTTTCCCCTGATCACTACGTGATCGTACTTTAATACAGTTTTTTGTTAATATATATTTTTTTTATTTTTGCGTAGGGTATGAATACTCGGATACACGCGGCAGGCATACTGATTTCAAATAGCTCGTTTTATTTTTGTTTTTCCTAAACACGGGATTTCAAATAGATTCGCAAAATTTGTGGC